TGTCAAATTAAGGAGAAATATTGAAGGTTGAGTAGAGATAATGGAGAGTGTAGAGAATTTTGGGAGCTATGCATATTTTCTGATTTCAACTTAACTCATTCTATTACACATCAAAACATATATACATGTAATAACCCTAAAACATTCCATGAAACATTCCCTAAGACATTCCATGAAACATTCCCTAAAACAAGGATTACATTGCTCAAGAAAAGTATTCCCTAAAACAAGGAATGAGACAAGTGCCATGAGACAAGGGGTGTCTTGTGTTTCATGTCTTTGTGTTCCACAAAGGACAATCACACAAGAAGCCAATATTGCTAACACTCCCCCTCAAGTTGGTGCATAGATATCACCAATGCCCAACTTGACCAGTGAGTTGTGGAATACCCTGCTAGAAACTGCTTTTGTCAAAATATCGGCCAGCTGGTCTTCGGACCTGACAAACGGAAGCTGAATTTCTTTATTGTCAAGTTTTTCTTTAATGAAGTGCCGATCCACTTCAACATGTTTAGTACGATCATGTTGGACTGGATTGTGTGCAATGGATATTGAAGCCTTGTTATCACACTGTAGATGCATTCCTAATGTAGGTGCATATCCAATCTCTGTAAGCAATTTCTTTAACCAAAGGAGTTCGCAAATTCCTTTGGTCATGCCTCTGAATTCGGCTTCTGCACTAGACAAAGCAACAACATTCTGTTTCTTGCTTCTCCAAGTAACCAAGTTACCACCAACAAATGTGAAGTACCCTGAAGTTGATCGTCTATCAGTGACATTCCCTGCCCAATCTGCATCTGTATAGCCACTGATATTTAGATGACCAAAGTGATCTTCTACAAGGAATTATCCTCAACGTTCTCAGTCTGGGACAAGTTCTGGGTATAGAGAAGAAGGCAGCACATTGAGCAGCTGTCTTTTGATTTGGAAGCCCCGGAATGCAGTTCCCTCTGACATCAAGAATCTTCTTCGTGATCAATGCCCTACAAGTTGGTCCTATCCGACTGAAATAGTTGTTTGCCGCGGAAAATCTCTCTAGATTACGCAACCTGCACACAGCCTCAGGTACCCTCCCATAGAACTGGTTACTGGCCAAGCTCAGATACTCCAGCTTCCCCAGGCAAGCAAAGGAGTTTGGTATTGGGCCTGTTAAGATGTTGGAGCTCACATCAAACACGGTTGCCTGTTTCAGGAACCCAATTTCGTACGGTAGACACCCTGTAACGAATCAAGGTGTTAAATATCGATGTTACCGAAAATGTATCGAACCTAAAAATTATCAAAAATTTGAGCAATTTCGAGGACATTGTACCTGAAAGCCGGTTCCCTAGGAAGAGAACCTCATAAAGGGTGTTCCTAGCTTGGCGAATGCTTCTTGGGATTGAACCAACGAACTTGTTGTTGGCAAAGGTGAGATAATGGGCAGGTGTGGAGCCAAGATTGGCTGGAAGTCGCTGCTGGAAATTGTTGTTGTTGAGGAAGAGGAGGTCAACATCTAGGTTAAACACTTTTGGTGGAACCGTGGCGTTGAACGAGTTGAACCGGAGGTCCAAGAAGGTCAAGTTTGTGGCCCCAAGAGTTTCATTTGGGAAGCCTCCAGTTAGCTTGTTGTTGCTGAGATCAAGCTCATAGAAGAATCTGTGCCTGGCAGTGCCTCTAGGGACGGTGCCCGTGAAGTTGTTGGAGTTCGCATGGAAGAACACCAAGTCCTCCAACCTGTCAATGAAGCCATTGAGAGGCAGCCTGTTGTTAAAGCCGCCAAACAAAGCTCCATTGAAGCTGACTCCAATGACCGCTAACTTCTTCAGGTCAGGGACAACTGCGCAGGTGAAGCCCTTATATTTGCAGACGTTGTTACCCACCCATGTTCCTGTGTAGTTTTTGGGGTCGGATTGGATTCTGCGTTTGAAAGCTTGGATCACATTGAAGGCATTTCTAAGTCGGTTGTTTATAAAGGGGCCTGGCTGGGCTTCAACCTCTTGTTGAAAACACAAATGTAGAAATAGGGTTGCAAGCAGAAGGGAAGCACAGAAAGAGATGGTGCCCATGTTTTTGTTTTAGCTATTGGGATGCTCAAGAGTAGCTAGGAATAGGGAAGAGATGAGAGAATATATATAAGTAGGATAGGAGCATCTTCAAGGAAATGATAGTGGCAATTATTGGAGCATACAGTGTCATCCCCTAACTTATGAGACAATCTTCCCATAAAAAATTTCTACCTCAAGCATATTTGTCACTTGAAGCCCACGGTGTTTTTTATTTTTTTGACAAAGCAAACCCATATTTGATCGAACTTTGGTACAAGGAGGCAGACACACTACCTTGGCCAGCTGAACTAACTTACAATTTTTTTTTTTAAATGAACATTTTAAGCCAAATTAAATTCATACCTCACTTTAATTGAGATTAAAGACCAAATTATAATATGTCATGTAATTTCTCTTTCCATCAGGTAATATAAATTTATATGTCTGTCTTTTGCTTTACATGAAAAAAGTATGGTCTTCCCCACCCAAAGATTAGTCCTTGATTTTGCACGTCATGGGTGTGACCTCATGAAGTAACTCAAAAAGTTAAGAGGGATCCTATCGCGACATGAAAGGGCAGATCACTCAACTGCACTCCTGAACCTGATCATGGAAGTTTTTGGTCTGGATTTCAAATTTTGCCCCTATGATTTATCTACTTTTAAAACAATACAAAATGCAATTTTAAAATTATATTTTAAAAAAAACGCCGAAAAATTATAAAAAATAAAACTAACAATTAACTATTTTATTATCTGCGGCATTATATATTTAGGATTCTTTTTTAATATTTGAAAAAAACAATGGTCATAATTTTTTTTTTCAATTAATCAATAAGGTTCTATGTAGTACTAATTTCATGTCACAAGTCAATCACTTTATGACTTTTTGAATTTGTAAAATTTTCATTTTACCCCTAAACAACGACTATGTGTCAATTGCAGGCAAAATTGAAGAACACCATAAAAAGATAGTACCGGCCATGGGATCCACAAAAGAGTAGTTAGAAACAATAAGAGATATTATATAATAGGGGAATGTTAGCAACCTTCTCTCTAACCTTTTCTTTTGGACATTCTCCATTCTTCTCATGACAAGTGTCACTTTCCTTACACTTAAAGCAATGTCATTAATGCATCACACAAACTAGTTTTTGTTTTCAAAGTTTACCCTTATTAAATGCATTAATTTTTTTAATAACAAACTAATTTTTTTACAACTTTCTTACCACCTTATTAAAAGTTCAATAAGAAAATAAAAACTGAAAATTTTTTTTTAAAAAAAAAATTTCCAAAGAGAACGTGTGTTTTGTTAAAAACAAAATAAAGATGATAACAATGTCATGAAACAAGCTTTATTTTTTATTTTTTAAATATGACGTTTTTTTTTAATTATTTAATTTTTAACAATGTGCTAAAGAAGTTGTAACAAAATTTGGATAAATTGAAGGAAATATAAAAGCCAATACATTTTAAAAGGGTAAACTTGGAAAACAAAAACTAACTTGTGTGATGCATAATGACATTGTTTTAAGTGTAAGGAAAGTGACACTTGTCATAAGGAGAAGGGAGAAGGTTCAAAAGAGAAGGTTAGACTGAGGTAGATTGGTGTTAAGAATAGTCAATCCTAATTATTATTTTTAAACAAGTGATAGTCCAATTTTTTTTAAATTAATAACCTAATTTACAGAAATGAAGATTTGAACTTGAATGCTGGGGCGAGTACAATGTCTTAATCAATTGGCCTAACTTACGTATGCAATAGACAATTCAAGTTAAATTCTAATATTTTAGTTGTGTGTGAGCACATGACAGGCGAACTTTCTCAACTAAAAGTCCCGCCACATCCAGCCAGAAATATGTAATCCCTCAACTACTACTAGTTCTAAGAGAGGACAAATTGGATAGAACAGGGCATAGGGACATGAGTACAAGCGACCATGGAAAGCAGTTTCAGCATTCATATTTGATCACATGACATTAATTCAATAAATCATATAAGAGAGCCGCCCCAATAAAAATGATCTCATCGAAAAAAAATAATCAGAACAAGTAGTAATAACCTCGTTATTCTATAAACTTGTATGCTTAAATTAGGGCTACAATGCAGGTTATTACATTGCTCCATAAAATCATTAAGAAAGAAAATATACAAATATATATGCATAAATTAACAAAGGACCCATCTAGCTCATCATCTTCCACGAGCCCAATTCCAGCATGAAATCAATCAAAGCCTGTGTGGCACAAGACTGCCATAAGACAATGGGGCAGAAGCTTGTTTCTGATGCTCAGGCTTCTTCTCATTTGAACCCCAGTGTCTTTTACAAGGCACGTAGGTCATTTCCTTCTCGTTGGGGCACTTTCTAGGCTTGGAGAAGAAGGCAGCACATTGAGCCTTTGTTTTCTGGCTTGGTTCGCCCAAAATGCAATTATGCTTAACATCAAGAAACTTCTTCTTGATCAATTTCCTGCACTCTGGGCCGACCTCTGTGAAATAGTTGTAGGCCAAGGTCAAGTTCCTCAGATTAGACAAGGTGCAGACCTGCTCTGGCACTGGTCCATAGAAACTGTTGTTGGCCAAGTTTAGATAATCAATCTTGGCCAAGCAGCTGAATGAGTGTGGTATTGGGCCAGTTAAGTAGTTGGAGCTCACATCGAACACCGTGGCCTGGTTTAAGTACCCAATTTCATACGGCAGGCACCCTGAAAATGCAAGGTATTAAATGTCGGTGTCCAAGAAAATATCAAAGGTAATATATATTGAGGGATAATAAATGAAATCGGAAGTAATTGTCTAGTACTGGTTACCAATCTATTTTACATATAGGATTACGTATCTATTTGGTGTGTTGGATTATATAGTTGGATAGGATCCACAATCTAGTTAGATGTTTGGTGGCCTAAAGACAACTTGGATTGGATTATTTCTCGCGGGCCCAAATATAGTAGGATTATAAATCCAATCAAAAGTTGTCTAGTACTGGTTACCAATCTATTTTACATATAGGATTACGTATCTATTTGGTGTGTTGGATTATATAGTTGGATAGGATCCACAATCTAGTTAGATGTTTGGTGACCTAAAGACAACTTGGATTGGATTATGTCTGTGGGCCCAAATATAGTAGGATTATAAATCCAATAATCAAAATGTTGAGATTAAGGTGGATGGGATTGAGTCATTTTATAGTGAGGGCCTTATCTCTGAATCGTTAGATCAAACTAACCAATTTGATCCAACGACCAACCAATTAGATTATGTTTAATCTCATTAGGTTATGTAATAGCATATTTCATTTAATCTAGTCTTTAATTATGTATAGCACCAAACATATCATTAGATTAGTGTTATCATATTCAAGCAAAATAGTGTTATCCTTAGTTT